TGTCACGGCGGATGAACGGGGGCACATAAGAAAATTTTATTTAAAATCGAGTAATATTGATCAATTGGACCGAACATCAGTACAATTTTATTATTATTATCGTTAAAAAAATATATTAATTAAATAAAAAAAGTTAAAAGTATCACGTGCTGATCATCAATTACCTTGGTTACCGAATACCTCGTTATAACGGATCATTGAGGCCAAACCAGTGTGTTCGTTATAACGAGGTTCGACTGTAGTAGTATTAGTAGTCGATTATTAGTTGCTCAAAAAAAAGTTTAGTCGACTATTTTAGTCGATTCCAACCTCTAGTTTTCTGCAAAGGATATTTTATATGGCATATATATAAATATAATGCACCATCAAAGATTGTAATTCTGTCTTTTTAATGTTAAATTAGAATATTTCTTTATAAAAACTTCACTGATAAATAATTTAAAACCATTATTACATAATACAGTCAAACCTTGTCACGGCGGATGAACGGGGGCACATAAGAAAATTTTATTTAAAATCGAGTAATATTGATCAATTGGACCGAACATCATGAATGCAAAGTATATAGTCCATGTAACAGTTTCAATTGAACAAAGTCCTCATTCAGTTAATTCTATTATTTTTTGAAGGTGAAGGTCATCAACAATGTCGTTTCTAGATAAAAACCCTGTCATTATGAACCAATAAAATCTTCACAGAATCAATCCATCAGAGTACCTTGTCATGCGAATAAAATACAAGTTCCGTAGTACTGCAATATCTTTCTGATAGAGAACCATTTGCATAGAAGGCCAATGGCTGTGGTGAGTGATTCTTGATGGATGTTTGTAAGGAAGAGGAAGAAAATATTATTAGATAAGTTAGCAATTAATCTATCGGTTTGATATGTTTAGACAGGAGGTAGTATATTAACAATACGTTGTATTAATATATATCAATTTAAGTTTTGAGCAATTGGCAAAGTAGATATAATTCTGGATCATTCGGTTGGCAATCCTTAGCATTGGAAGCCATTCTTCACATAATATCACCCATGTCAATGGGAATTCCCCTAAAATACTTGACAATGTATTCGATGAAAATATTGATAATATAGAACAAATGAGCGACCCGATTACAAAGACATGGAGACGATGCAAATTTCCTAATTCATTGGGAATGTGTCGATCGATTTTGAAGTTACAACTATATCAATGTTGTTCGTGTCTGCTACTTTAAATGTGCCGGACATTCTTTGGACAAAAGTCTTTACTTTCTGTCTCTACTCTCTGAATTATTAATATAGGGTTATTTAATTACCCGGTTGATTAATTAACTGATATTATTTATAATAATTTCCTTGATCTTGTCTTAACATTTGTGCAAAGTCGTTTAAACAATTATAATTGTGTTAATTGAGTTACGCCTAATTTTACGCCTCGTATTTGTTAAATTAGACATTTATTTAGATGCCGAATTATTCGATTTTTTTTTTTGGAAACCATTTTTTCTTCTCCTGATTCTTCAACATATGCTTTACAAAAGGTTTTTGAATTGCTTTGGTTTGATTCAATATCGGTTCTAATAATATGTCGATGGTAAAGGCGTTTTCTCACGTTAACTTGTAGCTTGTACTATTAGTCCTGGACGTCCGGGACATTTAATAAATGAGCGGACACGACAAATTGTTACGCGGACATTGTCCGGGACATGTCTGTGTCCGCTCGACATTAGTCGAACATGTCCCGTGTATAACAATGAGCTATGTGATATATTAATATATCAAGGTTTATGGAATTAAGATGAAGCGAATAAATAAAATTGTGGCAATAGTAACACCGATGAGTCAAGTTCAACATCTACTTTCTTTCCTATCTGGAATTTTCCTTGTTTAAAGATATCATAGTAATTGGGCGGAAGGGTTACTTAATTCGTTTAATTTATTGATGATGTTTACCTCTGAAGTTTTTGCTACCTCGATATCAAATATTTGTATTTTCCATTTTTCGATGTTTGAGATTGACCTAATATTTATATAGATTTTGAGATCATCCAGGAAAACTTATCAGATATATGAAGCAAGATAAGAACAAAGTTGTGAATTTGGTCTATCAGTTAACTATATCCCTATGTTTAAAGATTTAGCCTCATTGAGATGAAATGTATTTTTTTTACATGATGTATCTTTATTTCAAATATTTATTCACATGTGTATTAGTAATAAGATGTCATAAACACATAATTAGTTAAATCTAATACAAAGTAGTATGATGGAATGAAAATAAAAAAAGTTCTTATACATCCTGCTTGGGTCAGACCCGAAATAATACTTAAAGGATCGGGTTTTCCGGTTTATTCTTGATAAATCCTGTTTATGTTCAAAATTTTTAAAAAGAATCCTTTTCAAAATATTGATAATATTGTTAAGTCCTATTCCTTTTTAGTACATATATTCTATAGCTGTCAAATTATATGCGTATAATAATATTTATATTAATATTGATATATAATAATAAAGTTTGGTTGGTTTTTTCTCGGAAAAGATTTTTGGCCTGTAACACTTGTTTAAATTTGCCAAAGCATGAGATTTTTATATAATAGGTAAATCAAAATTATTTAGCAGACTGTATACATATATTACCAATATTCAAAGATCCAGATTGTGAAAGTTGATTTTATAACCATTTTATTAGGAATGTATTTTTAAAAATTTGTATATTTATCAAAAATGCTGTAATTATATTTAAGACTATTATCAAATAAATCATTCTTTATTTCTTCAATTATTTATTGTTTAGTGAATAAATTGATTTCTTGATTTTTTTTAGGGACTTTTCCAAGATGAATTTGAAGAAGGCATGAATGATTATAATAATTTCCACCTTTCTTGCTTTATTGATTTGCATCCCAGTGCGATTTTCTTGCTTTTAAATTTAAAAACGAAAAATTTTACTTGCACCATCCATTTCAGACTGTAACATATAATTTTATTGGCAATATGCTAATAATAATAACAATAGTAATTATTATTATTACAAGCAAAAATTAGTAGTTTAGCTATAGTCATAATGGGTAAAGTTATTTTATTTTATAGGAATCACTCTAATTTCCCTTGGATCCTTGCAGCTTTAAACCTTGAAATCTTTTTTGGCTTTTCTACCTTTTCTGTTACTGGTGGTTGCAATTCTTGTTGGTTCTGTTCTTGTCTCACCTGATTCACAGAAGGTGATAACTGCATTTTATTTGTGTTGAAAGGTAAATTTTCCATAATATCCAATTAATTAATAATTCTAATAGGGAAGAAAAGGAAAATCATAAAGTTTTAAGAACCTCATTTTTTTCTTTCAAAAGTCCACCTTCTTTTGCTATGATATCAAGACGTTTTTGATGATACTCTGAAGCAATCTGTACAAAGTAAATAAAAATAAATTAATGCGTGCAATTCAAGAAAATTATTTTACTCATTACCTCTTTCATCCAAAACTGGTTTTCCAATTCATCTAAACCAACTTCAGATTTGAAATCCTTTTCAACTACAATTTCTTTGATTACTTTATTCTTAAAATTTTTTTTTAATATACTTTTATCATCATCATCATCATCATCATCATCATCATCATCATCATCATCATCATCACCATCATCATCACCATCACCACCACCACCGCCATTGTTATCATTATTATAATTGTAATCATCCTCATACTCATCCTCATCATCTGAATCTTGTTGTTGCGTGTGTCTAAATTCATCCTCATTGTCACTATCATCATCATCATCTTCTTCATCTTCATCATCTTCATCATCAGAATCTTGCTGCTGTATACGTTTCAACTCTTCCTCCTCCTCTTCAATGAATTTATCTAAAAATTTCAGATCATAATAACCTGACTTTACATCTTTTTCAAATTTCACTGTATATATAATTAATAATTAACAAAATCAAAAACATAATTCAATTAATTTAATTTTTAAAAAAATTTCACAAAATGTCTACCTTTTTTCGTTGGCTTTTTTGTTGATTCTTTTTCTTCATCAGAATGATATTCTTCAACAATGTCAACAAAAGGTAATCCTTCTTCATTCAACTAAATTAACAATATTTTAAATTATAAGGTGAAAACCATTGTTAAAAAAAAAAATATCTTTACAAGTGTCATTATAATATTATTTATTATAATTTACTATTTGCTTTTTACTAGGGAAATTCAAAACTTCTGAAGTAAGATGGATTTTGGATTTTAGATTTTCAATTTGAACTTTTAAATCTTCTATTGTTTTATTAACCACTTTTTTTGACAAAGGAAAAAATTAATATTTCTAAAAATCTAGTTCTTTTGGTTTCTTGATATTTTATTTAATAAATAAAATCATTTATAGATATTACCTACTTTCAATTCTTCTATCGACGATTCCAATTGCTTGATATGCAGAGCGTTCAACAAACCAATTATCACCAAGCAATACTAATATTTCATTGGTATGTACAAGTTTTCCTGGCATAAACGCAAATTTACTAATTGGAACCTTTGTTTTTTATTTTTCAATATACAATAAATTAATCATATCATATTAAAACATATGAACATTTTTTTACAAACATTAAAAAAATTTACCATAACATTATGTTCGGTTTCTTTATTCAAAACTTTCAACGTAGATTTCAATGCTTCATAATCTTTCTCATAATTACACCAATGTTCTAATGCTTTATTTGTATCAAAAATTGACTGCTCAATTTTTGATTGATAAAATTTAGTAGAGTCTTCGAATGAAACTTTTTTTTTTCCTTTCGATGATGATGATTCCATTTTTAAAAAGTTTTGAAAACGATAAAATTGACATATCATTGACACATTTACGTAATAATCTGCATGTATAAGGCTAAATAAAGGTAGTTATTTTGCCTAACTAGACGCTTATATATGAGATCATTACGTAATGGATCATTCATTTATGATCAAAAATCGTGGACAACTTTTTTAAATCATAAATAATATTCTTTTTAATTAAATATTTTAATGAGTAAAAAAAGTTCATCAAATTTGAATAATGGAAATACCTCAATTTTTAAGGAAAATTCATTTTTGACAATAAATTCACCCGCAACAAGGTGGTTTGATTGGTTGAGTAATTCTCAATTAGAAAAATGGTCAACTTTGTTAAGCTTAATCTTTGGAATTTATATAAAATGGACTGTAGGTTTAAATCCATACTCAGGTATAATATCTATTAATGTTATTTGGTTTTTTAAAGAAAAAGGTTTGCTTTTATAATTTATGAGTTTATTCAGGTTACAATACTCCACCAATATATGGAGATTTTGAAGCACAAAGACATTGGATGGAGTTGACATTAAATGTTCCAATTAAACAGTGGTATTATTATGACACAGAATGGTGGGGCCTTGATTATCCTCCACTGACAGCATATGTAAGTTGGATTTGTGGCAAAATGTATGTATAATTTAAGAAAATAAGAAAATAATTCCAATTTCCATTTAAAATATTAAATCCATATATTTATTTATGCATATATTTTCAATAGAGGATATTTAATTAACCCTGAATGGGTTGAACTAGATGAATCTCGTGGTTATGAAAGTACAGAACTTAAAATATTTATGAGATCAAGTGTGTTAATCCTAGAATATCTGATATTTATACCTTCAGTTTTAGTATTTGTAAATTGGTGGTTTGTTGATTCATGGAAGAAGAAAGTATGGTTTAATATTTTTGAAAATATATATGTCTTTATATATGAATGATACTTTTTAATGTTTGAAAATTTGTTGATTAGGAAGTGACAACTTTGTTTATTTTGATGCAACCAGCTCTAATATTAATAGATCATGGACATTTCCAGTAACTATTATTTATTTATTCTAAATGCCTGAGAATATAAGAGAGAATGCTTTCTAATATCACTTGTTGTATTGAATCTCATTAGATATAATTCGTTGATGCTTGGATTTACACTATGGTCATTGAATTGTTTTTTTTATGATTATGATATTTTAGGGAGCATTTTTTTTTGTCTTTCCATATGTTTTAAACAAATGGCACTTTATTATGCTCCTGTGATTTTTGCTTATTTATTAGGAAAATGTATTAAGACAAATGGGTAATTAATTATATAATATATATATGTATAATATTATATTATGTATCTTGATTAAAATTGATTTATTAATTATTATTGTTTTTTAAAAAAAATTGTGTAAATAGGTTTATTCTTTTTTTAAAATTAGGCTTAACAGTAATTATAACATTTAGTGTGATGTTTTTTCCATTCTTAGATTCACTTGATCAGATTACACAAGTGATTTGGCGTATTTTCCCTTTATATCGTGGATTATATGAAGATAAAGTTGCCAACATTTGGTGTTCTATAAATGTGATTATTAAATTACGTGAATTGTTTGAAATCTATGTATTAACAAAGTTGAGGTAAATTATTTAATGGTTGTTCAATATATATGTGTGTGTGTATTAAATATGTTATTTTTTACAATAATAACAATAATAAATGTTGATTTTTTTTTAGCCTTTTAACAACTCTTATAGCTATTTTACCAACTTGTTTTTACATTGGAATAACAACTGATAAACATCAACTTGTATATAGCTTAGCAAATTGTTCTTTAGCCTTTTTTTTGTTTTCTTTTCAGGTACATGAGAAATCAATATTATTACCAGCATTGCCCATCACCTTATTAATCATGGATGAACCATTTTGGAGCCCTTTGTTTATTAATGTTGCAACGTTTAGGTAAAAATTTTCCCCAAATATTTGGATTTCCTGATCTTTGAAACAAAAAATAATTTAGTAAATTAATGTATGTTTGTGTGCAAATGCACATTAGCTTGTTTCCACTTTTGAGGAAAGATCAACTAGTTTTCCCTTATCTTATTTTACTTTCAATGTGGAATTGGTTGGGCTCATTCTTTCACCAAGGTACAAAATCTTTATTATTAAGAATTTTATCTTGGGTAAGTTGTTTTTCACTCTCTGAAAATTTTTTTAATTTTTTTTTTACAATATATATTAATAAAATCTATATTTATTTTTTTATAAAGTTATCATATTTATTTATGATTGTTTTTCATATATTAGAATTTAAGGTTTTGCCACCTGAAAAATATCCTGATATTTATGTTGTCATAAATGTTATTTTTAGTTCAGGAATATTTATTTTAACATTTATTTATTTTAATTATAAGCAAATGATAGACTTATTTAGAAAGCATCACCACCAAGGTTCTAATGAAAAGGATAAAGTTGAATAAAATAATAAAATTACAAAACCTATATCCAAATCAAGTATTTATTTTTGTATGTGACTTCATAATTGAAGATTTTTTTTTTTTGAGTAAAGATTAAATCAATGTATTTCTTCTTAACAAGTAGAACATAATATAATGAATGGCTGGTTATTTTGTTAAATCTTCCTGACCCCATTGGATCTTTTTGATATTGAGTGTGTTGAAGTGCTGCAAAGTCTCACTTAAGACATGTACTGCAAATTGTCGGTTAAAGCCATAAACCAAAATCACAGAGCACAGACAGACACTAACATATTTGCACCAGTAACATCAACAGCTGAACCAACTTCTACTATTGTAAAATACCTCAACCACTATTAATATTCAAATCACTACACCAACAATATCACCAAACAACTAAAATTCTATTACTGTAGCAATAACAAGGTTCACCACCAGCTATCAAGCTCAAACTGGAGAATCCTACCAAATAGCTATCACCAACAAAAGTGATTCCAACCAAGTTCCCATATTAGATGTTGAGACAGAATCTTAAAATGTGATTGTGACTGGCCCACAAAAAAGCTGGGATCATTACAAATGGGTGGCAGCTAGCAAAAAGGGTTATTGCTGCTGATGATGTGGAAACCAACCAACAAATCTAATACTATAGGCAGCCAGGAATGGGGTTATTATCAAATATGTGCGAAACATGCCATGAAAACACCAAGGAATCCTGGTTTAATACACCATGCAAAATTGTGAAAAACCAATGACTGAAAAAGTCAACATTGGATGTTTGCTCAGAGATTTGTAAATATGTTTAATGGTCACTTCAGCAAAAGAATTCAAACATATCACTCAAAGAATCAAACATTACATAGAAATTCAACATTGTAACAAGAATGAGAAACAATTGTTAGAGGCTGTGGAGGCCTATTATATCAAATAAAATGGACAACTGGAAGAAGAAGATGCTAATAACATGGAATCACGGAGAGAATTTGGAAGAGAACAGCTAATTTCTTCAATGACCATAATAGTAAATACTCAACCAACTAAGTATACATTGCTAGTGTGCAGTTTCTATTGCTACTCAAGAGGTATCCAATAAATTATATCATCAGGAAAACATGATTGGGGCTATATGTATAACCCACCATGTTTTCCTGATGGCCTGTATAATAAATACCTAGTAAGTAAGTAACTCAGGTCACACAATAGCAAATTGAAATCTTTGAAGTATGATGTCTTCAGGAAGTTGTGACATCAATTGACACCAGAAATTCAAACTATGAGTCCAAGGACTGATTTGTGACACTTTTGAAATGGTTTACGTTACAATTAAGAATGTTAGCCCCTCTTAATAAATGATCATCACCAAATCCAAAATGCTGAAATAGCTTTCATAGTTGCTGAAATTAACTTTATTAATTGCCGAAATTACATCCAAAATTATTTGAACACTTTAATTCAATAGCCAAGATTCTGGATAGTTTTTTTATGTCTATGGACATAAAGAATATTGTAAATCCAAAATTGCTTGCCAAAATTGATTTTTTCAAAAACCATTTCAGCTAACATCGTTAATTACAATGCTTGCCAAGTGGAAGAAGCTAAAGAATTATTCAAAATTTAAAGAACATCTGTCCAAGGCAAGATTAGAAAGGAATTATTATAATAAAAATACCAAATTAGCTAAGAATAAAGAAAACTAGTTGATCAAAATTATTCAAAAGGTAAAACACAATATTGCAGTATTGATGCGAGTGCTCATTATAGTTATGATTAAGCCCAAAATATCCATACATTCCATTCAGGTCAACAAGTAAGTAAAATTCATTACAACAGTACATGCAAAGTCCATTTATTTGGTATTCAAGATGAAGCAGTAAGGTAACAAATTAATTAACTACTAAAACAGTGAAAGGGCAAAAATCTATGGTATTGATGGGAAAAGAGAAAAGATTTTCTTGAAAATTTAGAAAATTTTCTCAATCTAAATTAGGGATAACATCTACCATTGGGGTGTCCTACATTATATGATTTTACAAACATAGTCAATCACATATATAAATTTTCATATATGACAATTTTTTGCCAATCTTTTTTTCAATAGTAAACTTTGAACAATTATAACTCTTTAAAGAATAGAGATACTGACTCTGAGTTAAGTTTAAAACATACTAGAGAAATAGGACAATAAAGCAATAGAACCCTTTTTTTATTTTAATATAAACAATGGCATTTATTTTAAGCTAGAAAATCAAAGTAAAAGTTGTGAATATATGTTACAAAATTTTATGCAAGTAAAATCATAAAAAGCTTTATAAGTTTAAAGAGCATCAAAAAGTGAATCTAAAACATAAATTTTTGTTTGAATATATCATATAGTTTAAGCGTTATTTTGAGTTTTGTAATTTGTGAAAATAATAATAAATTCACAAACCCCCTAAAAAATCCTCATTAATAAAAATTTATACATGTGATCAACTATGTTTGTAAATCATATGATGTGGGACACCCCAATCTACCACCTCAAAACTACTGTCTCAGACTTAAAAGATGAAGATTTTGCCAAAGCTGTAGTGAAATATAAAACAAGATTTTAAAGAATGAAAAAAAGTTTGATGGTAAATCCATTTGATTGTGAATAGCAGGTACAGCTTTAATTTTAGGTTTTATAATTGTTGTGATTTATGTTGTTAAAAGGACTAAAAAGAAATAATAGAATAATAAGATTATTTCTCTTAAGTGATTTTCTGTTTTTGTTGGGTAATAGTACACCTTCATGCTGCTCTCTTTTTCTAGCATTTATTATTTTTAAATTTCATAAGTAATCTTTTCTTTTTTAGATAAGCTTCCAGTGTCTGAATATCATTTATTTTGAAAACATAAGGAACAATTTTTCACCTTGTTCTTTCTTCAAATACCACCAATGTGCTATAATTTTGGGTTCCATAGTAGATCTGATATAAGTTAACAACAAATGGGAGTTTTAATAATCACATTAAATTTTGATCCCTGAAATACTTGGTAGTGCAAATGTTCATTTTGTCTGGTTTTGTTGTAGTATGTCACAATTAAGAAATACCAAATTTAGCATATTCCCTGACTACAATAGGCCCCATACCTAGTTTCAGGGTCCTATTTTTGGAAACCAATGAAGATGTAATTTTTTTGACGCACTCACTATGATTTTTGGCGGACTATCCTAACCAGTGTTCAATTGAATATTTATGTTATTGGCTGCGCCATTGTTAATAAACAACGTGATCTGCAAATAGGTCCAGCCAATCTGATCAAATTGTAGATCTTTGTAGATCACATAACTTCCATTCCTGGTCACATTTTACACTTGCAACAACAACAAACCAAAATATTTCGAATAGACAGACAATAAATAACTAATTCATATCGGAACCTTACTGTTGGTTTTTTATTATATATTATTTATAAGCATTTCTTTTATAATAATTAAATATGAAATCATTATATATCACATTAATGATATATCTTTATTTTTAATGTCTTTAGGTGCGGCAATTAATAATAAAACATTCGGTTATAGTTTATAATGGCAATTGGGCAGGGTAAAGGAAAAACTAGAAGTTCTAGTGTTGGAGGTAAAACTTTAAGGGGTAAAACAGTAAGAAGACAAGGTGTAAGTGCTTTTAAATAAAATGATATTTAAAAAATAATAAATTATTAACGATGTGAAATAAAACATAAAATAAATTATTAAGAAATTGTTCAAAGAAAATGTTAAAAATGTAACAAGAGGAGCAATACGTAGAATGGCACGAAGAGGTGGTGTAAAAAGAATCTCAGCAGGTATTTATGATGAGGCAAGAACAGCTCTTAAAGACTTTCTATACCATGTTCTTAGAGATGTGGTATCATATGTGGAATATGAAAATAAGAAAACAGTGACACTTATGGAGGTTCTTTTTGCATTAAAACGTAGAGGAAAAACTTTATACGGTTTTGATGTTAAAACATCAAAATCAACATACCTTTTTCAAGAATGATTTTTGTTCTTTATAAATTTATTTATATACTCTTTGTATATAAGTTCATTATTAAAGAATGTGTAGGTGGCAAATAGTTATAATAAATTATTGGTAAATTCAAGATTTGAATACACATTAATATTTTCCGTTATCAAATGTTTTTATTAAGTAGATTGATTTGATTAACCGCGATCCAATCTAAAAAAATGATGAATTTATCAAGTATACAGTCGATCATCTTTTAAGTTCACCTTCCATAAGTGAATCATATATTTCAGTTGCTAAAAGAAAAGAGATTAAGATAATCGAGTTTTGCCTTCTGGTGGTAATTTCTATCCTCAAAACGTGCACTTTGCATGTTGACTAAATACTTGTGCACTTAGGGCTTACATTATTAGGGTAATTTTAATCTTAAATGTTTGTCACAACATAACAGACAAAGGCAGTTAGTCAGTTGTACTTGGACAATACTTTGAAATTTACAAGCAAATTCATAAACAATTAAATGTAACTACACATATAGAATTTATCCCTCTTAGTTTATTATTAAATAAATAAATACTCGTAAATTTTCGTTAATACGGTATTATCAACTAACAACTTTAGTATCCCTATCCTATTACTATTGATATTAATTGGTGCTATAATTTCAATATTACTAGTATTAATTCCATCGTCAACAAACTCATTATCAGCCAAGTTCATCATTATTGTTGTTGTTTTTAGTAATTAACGCAAGTGTACTTTTTTCTATTTCGATAAAATCGACTGTTGTCACTTGTGTCTAATATCATAAGGAAGGTATCAATTTTAGCCAAACACAATTATGTATCATATGATTATTATACAAATTTGAAGTATGATGACGACCTTAATGTTTCCATTAACCGAATAAATATTAAAAAAACGGTTTTTTGCAGTATCTAATATCGCTGATTCGTCTGGTTTTAATATCACCATAAACAATTATTCTTCCATCCGATACTAAACCAACGACATATAAATACATACAAATATTAGAAATTATTATTGTTATAAAACCTACAGTCATAGACAATTTAAATTGTTTGATATTGTATAGATACGCCTATATTGTTATATATTACATTCTTCTCATTGTTTTAACAAAAAAAATTTTTACCTCGGTTAGTTCGTTCATTCGCCAATCAACTGCAGAAATTCCCGAGTAAAATTTACTAATAAAGTTAATTCTTATCCATAATTGTTGCACAAGTAAATCCTTATAGACTTCATAATAACCCAATTGTTTATATTTACCTTTGAGCAGTTGTGTATTCCGCTTCATTTATTATTGTTGTTATTATAGTAATCTCTGCAGGTCATTGGCAGACCACGTATTAACTTTAATGTCTCATATAAATAACATTTTATCGTTCAATAGATTGTGATAACTTTCAGGTAAAAAATATTTAAAGCTACAAATGAAAAATCATCATCGATGTTGAAATATTATATATATATATATATATATCACCATATGTGTCTGCTCTGTAAATGTTGTTTTGTGTATATATTGTTTCAACAATATAAGGTGATAAAAATAGATCATCAAGGATTTCTAGAGTCCATTTATCAAAGGAATTTATATTTGTTGAATAAACCATAGATCCATAGCAAGCTATAAGATAAATTGTGTCATTATTAATACCTTGTCCTAACACTAATCTTGCTTTAATATTAAAATTATTTTTTATTATTATTATTACACAAAATTTAAATCGGATCTGCCAAAAATGTGGGACATGACATCCTATGATTTTTTAAATTGGAAAAAATCATCATCAAAATTTTCAATCATCCATCATGTACTCAAAATATATCGATGTACATGCACATGTTTATCCAGCCTCTTTTCCAAACACTCCAATTGATCAAATATTAATTCGAGCAAGAGTCGCAAATGTTTCTTCAATTGTTTGTGTATCAGAAACCATTGAAGATGCTCGCAGTATTCTCAAGTTGAAACATGGTGATGATTCAAAACTATCTGCTTCATATAGACAAATGATTGAACCTTGTGCTGGTTTACATCCAGTTGATCCATTTGGAGCGAAAAGTGTTGTAAAATTGGAACAAGTTGAACCAATTATTAATTTCATTAAAGAAAAATCATTTGAACTAGTAGGAATTGGTGAAGGTAATTTTTTTTTTGTGTGTGTGTGTGTACATATTTTGCTCGACATTAATTGTATAATAATTTTTTACAAATAAAGTTGGATTGGATTTTACACCGCATGTATTAAAAAATGCGATCAAATCATATCCTGAATTGAGACTTGACGAGGAAAGTTTGAAAAAGGTTCAACGAGATGTCTTGGCACGACAAATTGCTTTATCATTAGAAACTAGTCTACCGCTAAATGTTCATTCACGTTCGGCCGGTCATTATGTTATTGATTGTTTGAAAGATTATGGAGCAAGAAACGTTGTTTTGCATGCATTTGATGGTCAAGTAAAATATGCAAAAGCAGGTGTTGAAATGGGGTTTGTTTAGTTTTTTTTTCCTTTCAAGGTAAAAATTGACATCTCTTGTTTCTTCCCTCTCACAAATATATATATATATGTATATTTTTTTTTTTTTTTTTTTTTTTACTAAAGATTTTATTTCTCAATTCCACCTTCAATAATTCGATCAACAAATAAAAAAAAATTAGTGGAAGCCTTACCATTATCGAATCTTTTACTCGAAACAGATTCACCTGCTCTTGGACCTGTAAGAGGTGTTGATAATGAACCAAACAGTATTGTTGTTAGTGCCAAAGAAATTGCTAAAATTAAGAATTTATCGGTCGAAGAAGTGGTAAGTGGTGTAATTCATATTGATATGTGTACATTGATTGGTTAATTAATTTATTTTATATATATATAGATTCATCAAACTACAGAAAATGCATATAAATTGTTTCCAAAAATCAATAAAATCAATCTTTAATAATATCTGATATACAAATATATATAATTTTAAAATTAACATTATTATAAGTAATTATTAGAAAATCAAAAGTTTTTCTCTAAAGAATTCCTTGCGAATGTTCTTTTGCTTTGTAAAATTTTATTGTGCGCCACAATTAAATAAACATTTCTCTGAAGAATAAAAATTTTTTTCCTTGTTGATAAAATAGAAATGATCTTCAATTTATTTGTAATAAAACGAAATTTGAAATTATTTTGCTCTTTATTCTATTGAGAAGATGGCAAGTTTGACTTTAACAGCTCAAGTTTTAAATATTCACAACAACAGAGAAAACAACAACAATGATGATGATGATGGAGTTGTTGCTATGGATGAAGATTTGAATAAAAATGTAGTGATTACAGTAGGAGGCGAAGAAGGATCAGAAAGGAAAATGTTCAAGACAAATTCAGAGATGTTAAAAGAGAAATCATCATATTTCAATGCAGCTTTATCATCCAATTGGGCGAGAATACAAGATGGTAAATACCATTTTGAAAAACCAAATATTTCACCACCAGTATTTGAAATAATTCTCGAGTAGGTTTTTCTTTTTTTTTAATTAATTGATTTATTTATAATAAATAATAATTATTAATTGGATATTTTTATCTAGTTATATAGAGACAGGAAATTGTAATTTGGATGAAATAAAAACAGTAGAAAATTATTATTATGGATTGCTTTTAGCATCAGATGAATTGGAATTATTGGAATTATTGAAGTATGTAGAGAAACATATTTTACAAAATGGAATTCCATGGCTATGTGAAAATGTGGTGAAGGTGTATTCTGCAGCATATGGAAATCAATGTATTACAGAATTACAAGAACTTTGTGTTAAGCTTATTTGTGAAAAACCAAATATATTATTTAAATCAAAAGATTTTCCTTGCACTAATAAATTGGCATTGATTAATATTGTTAAAAAAGATTATTTAAACACTAATGAACTTCAAGTATGGAAAAGTATTATAAATTGGGGGGTTAATCAATACCCTAAATTATATGATGATGGTGGTGATGGTGATGATATTGATATTGGGGGTAATGATGATGGTGATAATGGTGATAATGATGGTGATAATGATGGTGATGATGATGGTAATGATAATGGTGATGATGATGATAACAAAGAAAATCTTGCACCATCACAAAATCTCGATGAATCTGCATCAAGAAAAGGTATATCAAAATCAGAAAATTTAGAAAAATTTAAAATAATGAAAGAAAGGTTAGAAGACGTTTTGCCACACATTAGATATTTTGAAGTGACACCTAATGACTATTATAATTTCATTAGACCATATCAAAAGATATTATCAGAAGAACTTAGAAATCGTTTACACAATCATTATATAGTCAACATACATCATTTACCATCTGGCACATTAAAGAAAAGAGTTCCAGTCAGAAGCTCTAACATCTTTACTAATGGACATTTTGCAATTATAAAGAATTGGATTAGAAGAATAGAAGGTGGTGGTGGGGAAGTGGGAAGCATTAGAGGGGAAGTGGGTACAGGAGGAATGGGGACAGGAAGAGAAAAAAAAATAGATTACAAATTTAGTCGCATAAAATCAGGAACAAATAATTTTGATAAAAAATATATAACTCGAAATAGCATTGATAAAAATTTAAAAGGTTCTAAATTATTTATAATCAAAGTCAGAAATATTACTAATGATATTATTGGGGGATATTTCTCATTTTCCGAAAATAACAATGGTGCCAGCAATAATAGTGACAAGACTAGTAGTAATAACACTGGTAGTAGATACAGAACAACTTCCATGTCTGCCATTAGCGCTGCTACTAGTAATCCTATTGCTAATAAGCTTGTTAAGGATAATAATGAACCATTTTATTTGAGCTCAAGTAAATGTTTTATATTTTCATTTAAGAATAATGGATATGATGGGATTTATAGTGGAGTGATTGATAAAGATCGAGCAATTAAGATTAATGGGGAACAACCTAATTCTTCTCTAATTGGATTTAGTTTTGGTAATGATTTAAATCTTACACAAGAAACTTATAAATGTGAAGATTACTCTAAAGAAATTGTAAATTATAAGACATTTCTAACTAGAGAATATGAAATTTTCGAGGTATTGGCTATTTAAACAAAACAAATACATAAATTTTTTGGTCAGATTTACATTTTTGATCGACTTGATCATCTTGCATTACATCATCATACATGAAAAAAAATCTAAACCTTTTTTGCAATACAATTTAATTTTAAAAAAAAAAAAAAATTTTGAAATTATTTATTTTCATATTTTGGAAAAATAAAAAAAAACTTTTATATCATGTCACACACGCGCATCACACACCACGCACACATTTTTTTTTAAAAAAAAATATATTGATTGATGATGATGATATTATTATATTATTACAAATAAAAAAACCTTCTAGAAAAAATATTATAATTACATTTAATAAAATAAAACGAAGAAATGATATTTTCCCTCAATGCTTATGAAACTTAATAGTAAAAATGAAAGATTTACGAAGAAAAAAAGGAGAAATAATAAAGTAAAAAAATTTAAAATAAAAAAAAAACGATCAATTATTACTATCATTATTATTATTATGATGATGATGATGACGATGACGGCTATATCATAATAAACGAAATTTTATAGATTATTCTCTTGTCATGAAATTATATATCATATATTTTTATAGTATTATTGCATATTTATTGAGATATTCCCCTCCCAATTTAATCTTAATTGACATTGTCATCGGACACGAGCCGGAATCGAAATTGGAAATCGAAATTGAAATTGAGATTGAAAAACCGACATCTAGTAGTAGTAATAATATTATTATTATCTATCATTTATTCATATTACATATGTTAATAGTAGCAACGATTGCTCTTATGATTAGATAACGGTGATTTTTAATTAATTAAAAAATTTTATATGACAAGAAAAATAATCCGCATATTTTTGTGTTGTGGAGGATGATGACGAGTTTTAAAATTAAAAGTTTAAAATCGAGAGATTTAAAAAATCCAAACGGATCTTTAAATATTTAAATAAAAAAAAAAAAAGGCGAGTAGAATTGTGTGACAATTTGAAAGATGATTGATTGATGTGATGTGTGTGTGATGATGTAATTTTATTTATTGAACAATTAAAAAAAATTTTTTTTAAATAAAATTATTAAATAAATTTTCTCATGTGAAATTGCCCATTAAACACATGAATTAATTGAATCCAAATTTATTTATAATTTTTATCTGCTTAGATGAAATTATTTGATTTGATTAGTTTGTTTGTTTATATCTAATTTGTGTGTTGTAAATACAAGTGTGAATGTATGTCGCTTTATATGTAAATATGCCATTATTATTAATTCACATATAATGACAATTGTTATCATTATTGTTGTTAATAATCACCTCATTACACAAATTATCTTTTGAGAGAAGATAAAATAATAATAAAGATCACTAATTAATTTTCCTTTATTATCATTACAATTTTTGTAGTAGTAGCACGAAGTTTAACGGAAAATTTTTATTTTTTGTCTCTCCTAGCCTAGTGGTAGAATCACTCCGACTTATGAAACTAATGGTGATCCAATGAAATGATCGACGTTTCTACGGGTATTTTGGACCCTTTTTCCAAACCTTATATCTTATTGTGTCCGACGTCAAACACGTTAAACATGATGTGTGAACTGGTCAATAGAATGATAATTAACCCCCAAAAAATTTATTTGCACCGTTAAAAAAACTATTTTACTAATAGATAGCCCGTCAAACCAATGGCTCCACCTCAAAACCAATGGGGTTTTGCTAGTATAAAATATTCATAACGTTATGATCATACCGTACTGGATTTTGGGGTTCAACAAAATCAGCACATATATGCATATTTTTTGAAAAACATAGAGATTATAACTATTTATAAAATCTTTTGTTATTTTTTATTTTATTATATCTAGTTCTCAAAAACTTTTAAAAAAATTAAAAAGTAATAACCAATTTTATCACACATTCCTGTAGAGAGTTCAAATACATCAATTCTCAAGTTATGGCCTTGGTTTTTCAAATTTATAAATCTTTATATTAAATATTAAAATGTAAACTAATAAACAAATAATAGACATTTACTAATTAAGATTTAGCTTTAATAGAATAAAGAATTTGAGATCATATTAAGTAAGATATTGTTACCTATTGAATTTATAAAACCAAAAAATTACAATGAATGTTAAAATAACTATCTATTATTTTGAATGCATAATTAATAATATATAATAAACATGACTTCATTCCATAATGCCATCTATTTTATATTAATAACAGATTTAGATGATAAAGAGGTTCTTTTAGGATACTTTTCTCTGCTCCTCTATATAGAATTGAAAAGATTGATAGCAATCCATTTTTTTTCTATCATATGTGATGCTTACTTTCATAAACACAATAGGTACTTTTTTTTTTTTTAGTAGTAAATTTTGACATAATTTCTATAAAATAGTTTTCATTAAACTTATTAGCCAACACCCTCGTAAAGCAATAACCATATGAAATATTGTAGTATTTTACACCTTCCTAGCCATCTATCTAGTCTTTGAAAAATATTCTCAACTTTGAAGTGAAAAACAACACCAGTTTTCAGTTTTTGAACACATGTTAATTATCATGGATAATTATTGTGGAGTGTATAATTTCGTTCTTTTATTTGTATATAAAGTATAGGAATATTGAAATTTCTATGTATACACCTATTCTCTGGACCATTCCTTAATCCATGAAGGCCAAATAATGAACTCTATACAAGCATGAAAAAAATAGGACCCCGGACAATTATATTTGAACTGGTATTATCAAAAATGGGTAGAAATTGGCTTTTTTTTTAGAAACTGGTATGTAAAATGGATACAGTCAAACCTCGCCGTAGTGGACCTCGCCACAGCGGATTTAAATATTGACCCTTTTTTTATTTATTAAAAATGTTTGTCATAACGAATTTATTAATAAATTTGTTCCACAACGTTAACGGATTTTTGATGAGGGTCTTTCTATATGGCTACTAATCTCATAACAGCGGATTCACGTGACATATTAATTACAGTCAACCCCTCTAAGTGCATCCCCCTTGGGAATGAGTGATAGCGTGCACTTAGAGGGGAGTGTGCACTTAGAGAAACAAAACATTTCATTGGTTGCACGTGACTCCAATAAAGAATAAAAATTTATTAATTAATTATAACTAAGGTTGCGGGAGAAACTCCTCCAGAAATCAATCGACAGAGTTTCGACAGGTTACACATTAATTGTTTATTAGAGTTTCGGCAGAGTTTCGCATTTGGGGTTTTCGCCAATCATCAGAGTTTCGACAGGTTACACATTAATTGTTCATTAGAGTTTCGACAGAGTTTCGACAGTCATTAAGAGGTTTCGCCCACAACCTTAATTATAACATTATTATCACTTAAAAAAAAAATTTTATATAATTATTGATTAAGATAAGATTCTATTGTAGTTTGCCTCATTGTATTTATTGATTTCAAACTAATATATCTATCAAGATAATTAACCAGTTTTATTTGTTGACTATAATGAACAAAATTCATATTTTTGATAATTAGATAAAGTTACTCTTTTTGGAGACATTTTATTTAGAAGCAATAAAAGAATAAAATATTTAATGAGATGAGTGTGAGTGCAAAAATTAGATGGTTGGGTATGTAAGAGAGTATATATTAATTATTTTTAATTTATTAATGATAAGGTTAATTTATAATAGAAGTTTTATTTTTAAAGTTGGTTACAAGAGCTTAGTTATTAAATAAGATTCTTGATTCATGTATTATTTATAATAATTTCAACTACATAAGCTTCTTTGTTTGCATTCTTGTACTTTTGTTTTAATAACCTTTGTATCTATTAAAAAGAAAGAATTCTTTATTTCCCTGTCACTTAATAAAAATGAACAATTCTTTATCCACCTTTTACAAAATAATTCTGTCATACTAATAAATTTAATTCTTTACCTTTTGCTAATATGGTTGGCTTGGTCTAAAGACCTCCCATTGCTGCGCCACGCGCTCAAATTTCAAAAATTGCAATTTCGTGATTCGTTCAAAAATGCAATAAATTTTTTAAAAAAGGGTTAAAGTGACTTTGATTAAAAAACTATTTTCCTTACTGCCAAATTTAGATAAGATGGTCGAGCATTAGGCTAAATTTAGGAATTATGATCAAAAACTAGTCTAAATTTAGCAATGATCCTAGCGCTCAAATTTCTCATGAGCATAGTAAAGTACATGTTTTAAAAAAGGATAGAACTCTACAATACAAAATTTTTTTGGAGAAAATCTCTTCATCACATTAAAAGTAGAAACCTATTTTACCAATAATGAGGCTATTTTTTTAAAAGGTAGAACAGAAAATGACTTTTATACTTTTAAAATTTGCCCAAAATTTAGGAGGTCTTTAGACCAAGCCAACTATAATAAATTTAATTCTTTATATTCTTTATTATTATTTACCAAGTATAAAATTTAATTCTTTATCATCTCTTACAAAAAATCAATTCTTTAAAGAAAAAGTATTTTAATTTAATAACGTCGCACAATTTTTATTGGATAACAATCACGTGAAAGTCACGGGAATGCACTTAGAGAGGGAGTTTTATAAATATGGGAATGAAAAAAGACTGTGCAGTGCAGGGGGAAGGGGGTGTGCACTTATCTCTAATTCCCAAGCTTAGGAATTAATGAAAGCATGCACTTAGAGTGGTTGACTATATGAAATTTATAAAATAATAATTATCAATAGATTATTTTTAATCAAAGGTCAGTATTAAAATAAAGCAATAAACAAACAATTTTATCCAAAGATTTATGAGTAAAAATTTTCTAATAGACCAATACAAATAATTGATAGATTATTTGTCCAAATGTTTGCGAGTAACAACTTTCCAAGTTTTTAAAATAAACCAATAAACAAGCAATTGATAGGTCATTTGTCCAAATGTTTGCAAGTAACAACCTTTTCCAAGTTTCTAAAATAAATCAATAAACAAACAATTGATAGATTATTTGTCCAAATTTTTGCGAGTAACAAAATACTAAAAATATATTAATAAACCAACAATTGATAGATTATTTATCCGAATGTGTGCAAATAACAAATTTTCCAAGTTTCAAATAAACCAATTGATAATAAAGTCAATTAGATTATAAAGAATTAAAGCATTTAAATCTTCGAAAAGAAAAATGGAAAAACTAATATTACAACAAATAATTTTAATCCACATGTATTCGTTTATTTCTGTATTTTAGATATCATTAAATTTTTTTGTCGGTCATGATCATCAGTGTTGTACATGGGACATTGGGGTGTTACAAATTATAATAAACACAAACATAGTTGAGCACAACAGGAGGGAACGTACTGGGAACACAAAATTAACAGGAGGGAACACAAAAATTTAACCCATGCAATTTTGTGATTG